ACTACTCGCAGTCTATTGGGCTATACAATTTTTCAAACCATACGTGTACGGTAGAAAATTTATAGTCCAAAGTTTAGTTTGGAAGGCGATAAGCCAAAAGAAAAGATAAGCATCGAAAGCACCGAAATAACTGACATCAAAGAGCCTAATATATATGAAGTCCTAACAGTTGAAGAAACTGCAAAATATGCAACACTCAGGTGCGCAACTGAGCGAGCAACTATAAAAGGGAAAAATGTAATTGTCGACATCCCATTAAAGGACTTAATCACTAAAGGAAAAATTGATTTAGGACAGTTCTTTCCTAGGCTTGAAAAAATAGCCGGTGATTACAAAATAAACAAATAATAAATGTTACTTTGTGAGCAAATATTCAAAAAGATTGCAATCAGTGAATTTACAGAAATGGGCAACAAATGTTTAAAGCATTTAAAAATAGCACTAGTGCCACAAGTAACGAGAGTAAGTGATGATCAGGAAAAAATGAAAATTATTAGTAAATTTCATAACGATCCTTTATTAGGAGGACACATGGGTAGCACACGTCTATACAGAAAAATTAAAAAATACTATTACTGGAAACATATGAAAATTATGAAACGAACCAGCTTCACTCTTTCATTACAATACATGTAACGTTTCGGTATTGCAAACTAAGAGATTTAGGAACAATTTCTAGTATTTTGGACAATTGTTAGCAGGCGGTATTGAAGGATTAACTGGCATGGACATTGGAATTGGATTAGTGCGTCTTTTCTGTTTGAACTCATAAATTATCATATGCAATGGCCAACATTTTGAGTCACAAATAGTTTCAAAATCTTCAAACGGAACACAAATCTTAAAGGAAGCTATCTCTCGTGACACGGAAAAATTTAATTTAGAGATTGAAACGCTACCAGAAGATTTGCTAGAGATGCAAGCTGCGATGGTGAGTCCAGCTAGTGTCAGTAGGCAGCCGTGCAATATCTTCACGAAAGGGCATCCACATCTAGAGGCATGGAAATAGAAACGGAATGAGAACAGAAGTCGCGGCTTCGGCAAATCCACGAAAGAGCTTCCACATCTAAAGCCAAGGAACTAGAAACGGAACAAGAATCGTGGCTTCGGCAAATGAGGGAAAGAGCATCTGACATCTGATCCAAGAAGCTCAAACAGGAGGCGATGGATATCTTTTGTATAGACGAAGAAATGTGAACATCAGTGGGTACACAAATAAAATCAAGGACGTAATCGAAGCCATAAAAACCGAAGGACGTATTGGGAGAGATGTGTCGGAAAGCTTAAAAACTACTAACTAATTTCTAGCGGTGAGAGCCCAACACTGACAGCAAGTCCATTGCGTAATAGCTTTGATGAAATTGATAGCGTTGCCCAACACTGACAGCAAGTGCATTACGTAATAACTTTGATGGACGCATCAATTTACGTCTGAGAGATGTTGCTTCTCAAACTTATATTTTTGTTGCTGCCGTTTTTGGCACGTTTATAAGAACTTTGTGCCCACTTTGTGTTTTTTTTTTTTTATACTCTGTACATGAAATGTACAGAAGTATATTAGGTTTGCGGGAGCTGAAAAATGTAACAGGCAGAAGGAGGCGTGGCAGACCCCACAAAGTATATATATTCTTGATCAGCATGACGAGACGAGTCGATCTAGCCCTGTCTGTCTGTCTGTCCGTCTGTCCGTCCGTATGAACACCTGGATCTCAGAGACTATAAGAGATAGAGACACCAAATTTTGCACAAAGATGCGTTATGTGTGTATTCTATACGAGTTTGTTTTATTTTTTTGATTTTCCCCCCCACTTCCCCCCTATGGGGGTTTTCCCGATTTTCCATTCGTATAATCGCCTATATCTCGGAGACTATAAGACCTAGGAACACCAAATTTTAGTCCCAGATGCCTTATATGAATACGCAGAAAATGTATATTTTGGAATTTCCCTCCCTCCCCCCTCTACCACGCAAATCGTAACTCCCGTAATTCTTGGAATTTCGAACTAAAATTTTGCAAATACCCCCAGTTAGTTATTATGTGTCCGTATGCCAAGTTTCACTATGATAGACCGATTTAACAAGAAGTTATAGCCATAAATATATTTGCTGCTGCAGCGCTGCTCAAGCGCTGCCCGCGGCTGTTGTTGATGTTGCTGTTTGGTTGACTGCGAAAATGCTTACACAGACACGAATAGATGCGCATAGGCATACATACACTCACACAGACGCAATTGCTATGTAAATGTGCAATTATAAACCCTTTACGTGAGTTCGAATACCGAGAGAGGTAAAATCGATCAAATTTTTTTTTTATTTTCCTAATTTTTTTTATTTTCTATAATTATTGTAAACATATGTACAGAGTATTTCAAAGTCGGGACACCCGACTTTAACTTTTTTAATTGTTTTTTTTTTTTTCATTAATATTCTTTATTTCCAGTGGCCAGCAGCACTTATGTGTACGTTTATAAGAACTTTGTGGCCAGTTTGTGTATCTGTGTGTGTGTGTGCGTATATGCGTGTGTTGCTGATCAAATTTAATTGCTGTGAAAATGCCTATTGTTGGCAGCTGTGTTTCTTATTAACACTGGACGGGGATCGGCAGTCGATGTTGTAATATGCCCGCGGCTGTTGTTGATGCTGGTACTTTGGTTGACCTCACATATGTTTACATAGACACGAATAGATGCATATAGGCATACATACACTCACACAGACGCAATTGCTATGTAAATGTGCAATTATACACCATTTACGTGAGTTTGAATACCGAGAAAGGTAAAATCGATCAAACTTTTTTTTTTTTTTTAATTTTCCTTTGTTTTCTATAATTATTGTAAACATAAGTACAGAGTATTTCAAAGTCGGGACACCCGACTTTAGCTTTTTTACTTGTTTTTACAGGGTTGATACAGTGTTGTTGTGCTTTCGTGTAACTTTAGTTGACGGCTAAATTTTGCGCTGTACGAAAATGTGTGGCGCCGGGTGGCCCATAAGTGAATATTTTATACAGTTGTGTCGGTCGTGTAGGGGGGGTGGCTGCTTTATATACAATGTTTGTGGTTAATATAATCTACAGTGATTTGTGTGTGTGTTTGTGTCCGAAACTGCACTGGGGCCCTTGCGGTGTGTGGCGTCGTGAGTACGCTTTCTAACTAAACTTAGACAGAGGACGCTGCGCTCGCAGCTTAAGAGGTCGCGTGGGAGGAAGCTTCGGCTGTGGTGAATTCGTACCCTGCCGCCCTCAGCCCCTTACTGCTCGCGTAAACATCCTGCCCCCCTTGCAATATATTGCAGAAAAAAGCGCATCGCAGGTGGGACGAGACGGCCAGGATGTGAACTGTAAGGGGACACTTGGAGTGCGTTCATTGGTGACAGGCACCGGCCGGCTTTGGGCTACGGGAAGACCGTCTCGACCCGGAAGGCATCCTGCTTGGATCAGCCTTGGGTACACGTCCGTGCACTAGCGAAACTATGGCTAGTCGGTAGAAATTGGGATCGGCTAAGACCAGCGTCGCAAACTCGTCCCACCACTCGTTCCACCGCTCTTTCGGGAGTCCGCAACTTCAACTTCCGCAGTACTTCATAATGAGTACAGCCCGAATGCGTTTTTCCGGATTGAACCTATGGAACCGGCGACACCGCCGTAGGGCGTAGACTCCTCGGCAAAAACGGCAGCGGAATGCGTTCACTCCGCGGGGCTGGCTTCTCTCCTGCACCTGTTCCTGTGTGGTGCCACCTCGAGAAGGAGCCGAAGCTGTGGCAGAAAAAAGTTGGTTGAGTGATTAATCGAAACGAAACATAAACATGGAATAAACAATACGGAGCTAGCCATAGTAGCTACTGGACGGAACCGGTTTCTTGTACGGGACAGTAGGACAAGTTTGGTGATTGGCCGTTTAATATTGCCTCGTCACGTTAAGACGTCGACTACGCGTGTCCTTCCATCAGAGCCAGGATAGGTCCTTGGACTCATCCAAAACGGAAATCATGCGAAGGGAGATTGTCCTCCTTCACGACTACCAAATCCCCTGTCTGAAGGTCTCGTAGAGGCTGTTTCCACTTGTTGTCCAACGGAGACCAAATTGCTGGCTGATTGCCTTAAGCCGTTGCCAACGGTTAATTATAGACAAGGCTTCCTGCTTGATTTCAGGCTCGGTAATGGAAAGGAGCGGCCGCCAGTAAGGAATTGGCCGGGGGTCAAAGCCAGAAGATCGGTGGGGTTCTTCGACATTGGAGAAATCCGACGAGAGTTCAGGACCATCTCGATGTTGCACAGCAACGTCGACAGCTCTTCGAACTTGAACCTTTGACTCGATGTGGCCTTGTAGAAAAGAGTCTTGAAGCTCTTCGCTCCCGCCTCCCACAAGCCACCCATGTGGGGCGCGCCGGGAGGAATGAAATTCCAGGAGATTAGGTGCTGGCCATGGACGTTGGTAATTTGCGCTCGAGTGGCTTCTAGAAAGTTGTTTATTCGCACACGTGCGGTAGTGCGAATCGGCAGGACGATCCTGGTCCTGAAGAGTTAAGCTCAAGGACGCTTGTTGTCCTTCTGTTGATCAAGGCGGGATCCCAGTGGTCCAGATTGATATTTGGGTGGACGCTCGTGGTCCGTTTCATTAAAGGCACTTGTGGCCCTGCTGCTTCAGTGGACCCTCGTGGTCCAGTAGGTGCGAGTAGCACCGGTTGTCCTGGTTGCGCTTGAGTGAGACGACGCAGGACGTTTGCAGTGGCCAAGGATACCGGATCAGCGGTTCCCGTAGTGACCCAAGTAACAGGCCGTTCGTTGATAATTTGCATACTGATTTTATTCTTACAAATCATGGCATATATAGCCATGCTTAAACTATCTTATGACTATTTACGTATAAACTATGACTTATACTGAGGTAGCAGAATAATATATGTCTTATTCTTGCTTATGTTGACTGGCCAGTGTCAATGCACCTGTAATTCGTGTGCGCGTGCATACTATGGTGCCAATATTATCTATGCTAAAACAATATGGGTGCATAGGTTTATGTGTACTTATATGTATGTTATGTGGTGCCATGATATTTTATTTAATGTCTGTTTGCGTCGCGTTGATGAGATGTTATATACTCATTCGCGTCGCAACAAAAGTCACGCTCCAAAGGCATTCCTGCAGCAGGAGCTCAAACGCCTACTCATAGTTGATTTAGTTGCTCCCACAAAGGTCGTGCCGTTGTCAGACTGGATTTCTTGGGGGCATCGTCTTCTCGCCACAAAGCGCGCAATAGAGGCTAAGCATTTCTCCGTCGTGAGGTCGGATGTAGATGGATAGCTTTCGTGCTGAAGCATACAAAAACGCACACGTAGCCCTTGGTGATCAGGCAGACTCGGCCTGTGTAGTTTTTAATTTCAAATGGTCCAGCGAATGGCCACCACGCGCAGGACTCCGACGAAATCGAAAAAACGCTCCAGAACGTCCCCAGCTGCAGACACGGATGCGGAATTCACCCGAATGGTACGTTGCTCCATTTCCGTGATGAATGGAGGGTGCTCGACGATGGGCCAGCTTTCCTGCGGCATCCGAAGCCAAGACGATACATATCACCACAAGTCGCTGTCCGCCAGATCTTGTGGAGGGACCCATCGACTTGCCAAGTCCGCTGGGTTGTGCTCCGACCACACGTGGAACCACCTGTTATCCTTCGTGGACTGACGTCGTGACCCTCGAAACTCGGTTCGCCACGAAAGTGGTCCGATTGCATGGTGGCTTGCTCAACTAGGATAGCTCGATCGTCGAGTCTGTCCAAAAATAGGGGCCGAAACTGCTAAGTGTGGAAACGTGGCTGCGCACCACCTCGATCCACCTCGGGATCCGTATCCGGTCCAAAGCTGGATAGCTCATATGGAACTGGCTCCACCAGTTGAGTAGTTGGGATGGCAATGAATGGTCCCACAAGATCTTCTTTAGACAGAGTTCCTGCATAAAAATCTTAGCCCGTACTACGAAAGGGGTCAGCCACTCCGCGGGATTGAACAGCTCGGAGATCAGCGATAGCACTTCGCCATTCATGTATGAGGGCTTGGCCTCCACATCGCTGGCAACGAAGAAAAATTCGTCTGTCGTAGCACTCCACCATCCTTGGGAATGTGAACCAGAAGTTTCTTCTTATTGGACGTCCATTTTCGCAGTGGGAAGCCTGCAGCATCAAGTGCCATCTGGAACCTTATGGCTTGAACTTTGGCCTCCATAGTGTGGGCGCCGGCTAGCACATCATATACGTACATGTAATCGCGGATGATTTGACTGGCTAGCCGATGATTTGACTGGTTAGCGTATATTGTGGCCAGGAGTCCTCTGCCAAAGGTGACCGTGATCAACTTGTAGTCACATATGTCACCAGTAGAATTCCGGAATAGAATTCTTTGGAAAGGCGTGTGCCTAGAGTCGACGATGATTTGCCGATACACTTTTTGGTTATGTCGGAACTGAAAACAAATTGGAAAAAACGTCATTTTAGTATCTGCAGAGTTAAATTGGACTGCAGGACGAGTCCCGTGTGCAACATATCGTTCAAGCTCTTACCATTTGTGGATGGACTTGACGCGTTGAACACCACACGGGCCTTCGTAGTGGTGCTGTCAGGCTTGCTGACAGCATGATGCGAAAGATAAAAATTATCTGCATTCGCTCGGAAGGAACTTGGCACATGTGCCCAAAGTCCAGGTACTCCTGGATGACCATATCGTACTGCTCTTTTAGAGGAACGTTCCTTTTTATGCGAGCTTCGTTCGTTAGGTATTAAGCCAGTGCGATAGACCTCGAGTGACCCAAGTCGATACGTTGTGGGTTCTTAGAAGAAGAAGTTTTGCTCGCAGACTAAATCTGCTTCCTTTACCCGAGTTGCGGGTAGATCCTCCACCTCCTAAAACTTCAAAAGGAGCTTGTTCAGTGAGGGCCCTTGTGGAGAACGACGAAATCGAAGCGTTCCGAAGTGGTCACCGGACCGGTTAAGATCCATCCGAAAATAGTTTCCTGACCCAGAAGGGTGCCGCAAATGTTTCGCTGGACGCCATACAGTAGTACTGATGGCAGCACATCTGCCCCAAGAAGAACATCTATCTGGGCGCTTCGGAAGAAATAGGGATCCGCCAACTTGAACTTTGGAAGATCCCTCAGAACGCTTTGGGGGATTAGGTACGATGCCAGCTTGTCTGCCGAATGTGGCAACACGAACGCGGAGGCCTCAACTTGTAGCCTTGGCTTTGCAGGCAGGACAAGCTTGAAGCTGCTCATATGGCGCGCGTCGGCCGAGACCACACAATTGAGCCCGCATACCTGGGGCTGCACCTTTTGGAAAGGCAGCTTCCTTAAACGTTCCAATATGAACGTTCCTTCTGATCCGGAGTCGATTAAAACTTTTGTCGCTCTTGATGAAGAAGCGGCGCTAAATTTAGCTTCGTACTGGCTCAACCTATCCGATACTGCTATGAACTTATCCACATAGGTGGGGCCGCATTCTGCCTTCGGCGACATCGCCCGGGTGGTCCGTTTATTACCGGCAGGAGGGATTAGGGATGATCCCGTGGCCACTTCCGCTTTCAGAACTTCACCTTCCATTTTTAATAAGGCGGATTTGGCTCCTCTCTCGATGCGTGCCGTTAGCACCGTTCGATGTCGCTCGCTTGTATATATGTATGTAGTGGCAATGAAATAATATTTGTTTGCTACATATTTGCACGGAAGCTTTATAGTGTGCAATATAATGATGGAATAATTATAAAGTAAGTCGATAAAATTTCAATCTACCACTTTTATTATGAGTATGGAACTTATGTAAGTGCAGTGCGAGGCTTGGACAGCTGAGAGAGAGAGAGAGAACGAAAAGGCGTGGAAAAAAACAACAAGCGCGCCGTTTGTACTGTCTTAAGTGTGTATAGGCAAATTATATGCGGAATTATGTTAATAAATTCCTTCTGCACTCATTAACAAATTTAGGTTAGTCCACTTTGAGATGCGGCGCTTATACATCTTCGCACTTAAGACCTTTAAAACATGCACACGGCCAAGTTTGACTTGGAATTTCTCTCTCTCAAAGGAAGGAAAAAGTGTATAGCGACTTATATACATACCTATATGTACATATATATATGAAATATACTAACAGGTATCGCCCGTCTTAATCCTGCTCAATATAATGCTTCAAATTGCATCTATTTTGTGTGTGTGCATGACCTAGCCATATATTTTCACCTTATTAATTACCAGTTGGAAGGCATTTTAGGTATTTAAATGAACATTTTCTGTTCTTGATAAAATATTATTCAGTAGTCCGTTACATGTTGGTTCTTGCCAAAATATTTCCTTAAACGTACACACACATGACCACTATAACTAATAATTTTTTAAGCTCGTTTTCCCCCCTTTGGAGCTCGAATTTTTCAAAAGCCTTTTTTAGGGTTTGGGTTGTGCGTTGATCACGAATCAGTCAGTCAGGACAAACTGTTTGATATACTTGTATATAGGGATAACGCAACGTTTTAAGATAGACTATGTGCAAAAAAGGGCAATAATTATAAGAGCATATCCTAATTTTAAATTCACATTTGTGTCTCTTCGTGCCTTATTGAGTCAATACGATCACGCACGATCGGAATATGAAACACTACTCTCGTGTCAATCGTGCAACGATGAGCCACGATCAAAAAGCACTGATAATGCCCATCTCAATTTCAACTTTCGATAGTTGAATCCACCGATACTATCGATACATCGAAGTTTGAATGCAATAAATAGAATATCTAAATAATAACATCTTATAATTTATTGAGCTCAATTAGAACAAATCATATACATATGTACATATATACATACATCTTTACTGTTATAACCGTACGTAGAGAACCGTGTATGTGTAGTCCGTAAAGTGGGTACTCATCTTTCGAAAGGGAGATCAAAAAATTAAAATATTGATTAAATCATGCACGATGCATTTAAATACTAATTAATGCATATGATTAATAAAAAAAACTTCAAAAAATTCAACTTAGTTCCATTTTAATGCGAAAAAGTGCGCCAGGAGCTGTAGTGTACCATAATTCTCCCCTTGAAGAAACGATACCCCAGAATGTTGACTGTGTTGTGTTTCAAAACAAAATTCCAATTCACTATCATTAATTCATAGTCGTACAAAAAAAGGGAAAATACTAATCTATATATATAAAACAGTTTGTCCTGACTGACTGACTGATTGGTGATCAACGCACAGCCCAAACAGTAAAAGCTAGGAAGCTGAAATTTAGACTCAAGTATCCTTTCATAGTCTAGGTGCCCACTAAGAAGGGATTTTGGAAAATTAGAGCTCCAAAGGGGGGAAATCGAGCTCCAAAGTTTGTATGAAAAATCAGTTTTCCACTTCAAATTTGGTTTTTATAATTTATAAAAGAATGCAAAAAAACTGCGTACTCGGATTTTCGAAATTTGTGGTGGAGCTTGAATTATTGGGGTTTTAATATGTATTCACTATATCAAATGAAAAGTTTGTGTTATAAATTTTTTCCGATCTATTTGGGGACTGTAATCTACGTAACTAAATCTACAACTTTGTGTTCAAGGATTTTCAACATATGCGTTTTACAAATGCAGGCAGAACAAACAATACAAAATATCAAACAGTTGGGGACAACTAAGTATACATACACACACACACATACAAGCAACTGTTCGTGTAGTTGCGTGCAAACGATTGAAATAGCCAAAGCAAAATGTGAGACACTAATGTGTGAATGTACACACATACATATGTACACATCTATGTACATGTACACATCTATGTACATGTACATATCTATGTACATGTACACATCTATGTACATGTACACATCTATGTACATGTAGACATCTATGTATTGTAATATCGTTTATTAATTGTGTGCTTATATTATATATACAGATCGACCTCGATCTCGGTCAAAAACATACAGACATTGTCTTATTTAATATTTGTGTCCAAGGTTTTAATCTGGCCGGTTCCTTTATATGGCATTTGTGTTAATTAATCCGAATAAAAGCAAACTAGGGGTTTATTTGTACTGCTATGAACCGAATTGTTAATGGCGAATTCCACCCTACTAACTAACTTGTACCAATCTTCTTGATTTAACGGATTTGACAACTTTCCCAACATAGGCGTTATTACGCGGTTTACCCGTTCTACCTGCCCAACGGGCAGTCGGCGGGGGCGACTGTAATAGTCGAAGTATTTTTTCAAACAAGCGTTAACTTCCTTTGTGCTCGTCGAGTTTACTGGATATAATTTCACGAATTTGGTAAATGCGTCTATCACCACCAACAAGTGTTTTTGCTTTGATTTAATACTAGGAAGTGGGCCTAAATGGTCTATATGTATCGTATCGAAAGGGACAGATGCTTTTGGGATACTATGTAGTGTTCGGTTGTTTACTGTCTTCGGGACAGAACGCAATATACATCGTAAACAATTCCTTACAAACTCTTCTATTTTACTCCTCATTAATGGGAACCAGTACTTTGATTTCATATCATTATAGCATTTTTCGGCGGCTAAATTTCCAAGTTTCTCATGGCTCATTCTAATTAACTGCTCCTGCATACATAACGAAACGTAAAGCGCTAATTCATTACTTGCGTTTACACGATAACCTGTTTCATATATTAATGCATAAATATCGACAGGGTAATTCTCTAACTCTTCTCTTTTCTCATTTATAGCCTTGTCTCTCATCTGCTCAGTTTGTAACAATAGATCCATATTCCTGAACTCGCGCCGACTACACCAACACACTCTGAATCTACGCATTTTAACGGATATGTACCATGAACGATTTCATTATTACTTTTTTCTAACGGATTCTTCTCTTCACTATTACTGACCACAAAACTTTCCCCCGGTCTATCTAACGGGTTATCCAACGGGTTTTCTATCCGGTTATCTTCCTCTATCTCTTTATGTTCAAGATAAACTCGGAAGCGCCTTAATGCATATATTATTGCTAAGGTTTCAAGCTTAAAACTGGTCATTCGTGCTTCATCTGCAGATGCCTTAAGGGAATAGAAATATACTGGGTGCATTCTATTATCATCCTGCTTCTGAAACAATATCGCACCATAGCCTCTTGAACTTGCATCCGTATGAAGTTCAGTTTCCCGTTTCGGGCTGTAAATTGCAAGAACTGGCGGTGTGGACAAAAGAGCCTTTAATTTTTCAAATGCTTCCATTTCTGTTCCCTGCATTGGAAAACGTCTCTTATTTTTTAATAATTCTACTAGCGGCTTACAAATACTTCCGAATGATTGGACAAAACGGCGAAAGTACGAAAACAATCATATACAAGAGTGCAACTCTCGTACATTTGTTGGTATTGGATAATTTTAATTTTATTGCTTGTATATGAGTGTCGTTCGGCAAGACTCCACTTCTGCTCACACTATAGCCTAAGAAGTCGATGGTTTTTCTATAAAATTGACTTTTTTTAAAGTTAATTTCTAATCTGTTTTCACTCAACCGACGAAGCAATTTAGTCAGTGTATCAAAGTGTTCTGCTATGCTTGTTGTTGCCACTACAATATCATCCATAAAGACCACAATCTTATTGTTTCGAACTAAATCATTTAAAGTGTTTGAAATAAATCTTTGAAAAACTGAGGGGCCATTTTTTAATCCAAACGGCATTCTGAGATACTCATACTGTCCCTGTGGAGTTACAAAGGCTGTATACTTTATTGAATCTTCATCCACTCCTATTTGGTGAAATCCACTTTTGAGGTCAATCACCGAGAAGCATGTCTTTCCTTCCAAATATTCTAGCCAATCTTCAATTAACGGCAGAGGAAAATTATCACGCACTGTTAGCTTATTTAAGCATCTATAATCAACGCACATACGTATTTCACCGGATTTCTTTTTAACGAGTACAATCGGAGATGCATACGGTGAATTAGTTGGTCTAATTACTCCTGATGCCATCAATTTCTCAATTATTTCTGACATTTTGCCCTTCTCATAAAATGAAAGTCGTCTCGGACCAAAGCTAAAAGGGGTACTATTAGTTAATCGGATGCTTATTTTTCGTATCGGTTCAATCAATGTATTACTCCAAGAATTTAAATAATTATTATAAATGAGATCTCTACACTGTTCAGCTCTATTCAAACCAAATTCGCAGCCAACATCAAATTTCATAATATTTTCCATTAAGTTTAATACGGGATTTCACTTGTCCGCAAACACAAAGTTGGGTTCCTCCCAATCCATGATATTTCTTCACAAGTGGATTTTCCAATACAAAAATACAAAAAAACTAACTGGGCTGCCGGTATCAAAACTGGAAAGAATTATTCTAAAATCAACAAACAAAAACTCACTAATTGTATGGCTGCCACATCGTCTTCGTCCTTTACCAGCTCTGCTGTATCTTTTATACGGCGTTT